ATTTTCGATTTTTGAAAATGGACGGAGATAAAAATAAATTGAGAATGCTCTTTTCCGTTTGCGATTGCAAAGAGGATTATTTGTTTCGCAGAATTAAGGAAATTGCTCAAGAGAGTTTATTGTTATGAGCGGGAGTTTCATAAGATGGAGGAAAATAGCTTCAGCGGCATCTACACAAATGCTTTTGAATGTGCCTCAATACCACGATATATTTTTATTTTTAAATTTAAATTTAAATTCGATTTTTTAGCCTCATTTTAAAACTGTTTATTTGCAGTTTATTAATATTTCTTCTAGAACAGTTTTTGTAACACCTAAGTTTTTCCAAATAATATATTTTTAGGATTTGTAAATTGTAATATTTATTACTTGATATTTCGACCTGTAAACTAAACGGTGTACTAAGCAGATAAAATTAAATTTATTTTTCTCCTACTCAAATCCCAAATATTATGATTATCACGATATCAAATACACATCACAGCAATACTAGAAACACATTTGACTGTAAATAACATTGAAAAGATTAGTCCATACACGTTTTATACAAGTGCAGGTAAAAAGTATTTTAGCAAAATCTGATTGAATGTGTGCAATTGGAATTAAAGGAAAAGAGAACATGATATCGCTGATAAATATACACGCTGTAGCTGAAAAAAAAGAAGTTAAAGATGAATTTTATGAAGAATTAGAGTCATTGTCTGAATAAATGCCCAGACAAGATATTACAATTATTATAGGCGACGCTAATACAATGGTCGGAAGAGAAGATATATATATATATATATATATATATATATATATATATATATATATATATATAACAGGGGGAAAGTAAACATATGAATACAAATGATAATGGCCAAAAATTTATTACATTGCAATTGACAATAAGATAAAAATAATGAGTACGTATTTAAGGAAAAAAAATATAAATATAAGGGAACGTGAAAAATTTTGGGATCAAATGAAACTAATCAAATAAACCACATATTAATATTAGAGAAATTCGGCAATTTAGTAACAAATGCGAAAACGTGTAGAGGATTTAACGTAGACTCTGGCCATCAATAATGAAATAACATAAACGGAAAAAGAAAGTGCAACGTAAATTTAATTTTGAAAATCTGCGAAAATTTGTAGTCTGCGAAGTAGTGCAGAATTATCAAAACGGTATACAAGAAACCTACACTAAACAAGATAGTGCTACTGTAAGTAACATACAACAAAAGTTCTTGAAAATGACAAACATTATAAAGGAATCAAAGTCGAAGAACACAGCAAGAACAAAAATATTTCAAAAAAATCGAATGACGAATTCGATGACGAATGTGGAACAGATTTTAAAAAAATAGATTTGAGATTAAAAAGGTTGCGATCCCAAAAACAAGACGTCTTAGAACGGTATGCCGAACAACGAAGAAAACTGAAAAAAATGTAAACGATAAGCAAGGACACCTGATGGTGAACGAAGACGAAATATGTGAAATGTGGAAAGAATATTTCGAAGAGATGCTAAACAACGGAGTGATTACTGAAGAAAATTATAATATTCCTAAACCTCAAATAGTAATAGAACAAATACCAAAGTCCACAAGAGAGGAAATTAAAGAAATAATAAAAGATATGAAAAATCAAAAAAGCCCTGGAGAGAACGGCATTGTGGCAAAGAACTTAAAATATGAAGAAGAGGCTTAAATAAACTAACGTAGTGGGCTACTACTATAGTGTGGTATGCTGAAGAAATGCCTCAAGAATGGAACAAGTCCATTATAATTCCTATACACAAAAAGGGAGATAGAACTGAATGCGAAAATATAAATAAATATCCTTGTTACAGATAATATATAAAGTGATCCCTATCTATCTATCTTTCTAATTAGCCTTAAACGCCCACTCTTGGGCATAGGCCTCCCCTGTTAATCTCCATTGATCTCTATTTTAGACGATCTGCATCCAGTCCTTTCCTGCCGTTCTCTTAAGGTCGTCAGTCCATCTCATCTGTGGTCTTCCTCTTTTTCTTTTCTTTTCCCATGGTCTCCAGTGTAGAATTCGCTTATTCCATCTTTCATTTTTTTGCCGGAGAATGTGACCGGCGAAGTTCCATTTAAGTTTGGCAACCTGTCTTGATACATCGTTCACCTTTGTTTTTTCTCTGATCCATGAATTTCGTTTTCTGTCTTTAAGACCGATACCCAGCATCTGTCTTTCCATTGCTCTTTGTGTTTTGGATATCCTGTCGATGTTCTGCTTTGTGAAAGTCCATGTTTGTGAGTCATATGTGATAACTGGTAAAATGCACTGATTGAATACTTTTCGTTCGCATATATTGAGGGAACTTTTTATTTTTTAGAATATATGATAGTTTACCAAATGAGGCCCATGCTAGTCTAGTTCTTCTTTTTATTTCTTCTGTTTGATTGTCCCTGTTCAGCTTTATTATCTGTCCTAGATATATTTATTCTGCCACCTGCTCTAATTTATTCTGTTTGACTACTATTTCTAATTGGTCTTCTTGGTTTGTCAGTCTTGGTTTTTCTATAGTTCATCTCTAGACCTACCTCGGTCGCTTTTCTATCTAGTTCCTCAACCATCTTATGTAACTCTTATTTCTTATCTGTTATGAGGACTATATCGTCTGCATATCTCAAATGGTTCAAGAACTCTCCATTTATTCTTATTCCGTATGTATCCCATTCTAATTTTTTAAATATGTCTTCCATAGCCTGATTGAACAATTTTGGTGATATTGTGTCTCCCTGCCTGATTCCTTTTTCGAATTTTATTGGTTCTGTAGCGTGTTCGTTCGTCAATTTTATTGTGGTACTCGCATTTTTGTATATGTTTGTTATTAGGTCCGCGTACCTGTAATCAATTCTACCGTTCTGTAGTGAGTTTTTGATGGCTCAATGTTCTATGCTGTCAAACGCCTTTCGGAAGTCTATGAATGCCATGTATAATGGGATTTGATACTCGTTCGCCTTTTCAATCAGTATTTTTACTGTTAGCAGATGGTCGCTAGTACTAAAACCCTTTCTGAATCCCGCTTGTTCTCTTGCTTGGTATTCGTCAAGCTTAGTTGTTGGTCTATTTGTCATGATCTTCGTTAGTAGTTTAAATACAACACTTAGTAATGTTATAGGTCTATAGTTTTCTAAGTTCTTTCGGTCACCTTTTTTGAACATTAATAGTGTCTCCGCATCGTTCCAGCTATCGGGTATTTCTTTTGTGGTCAATATTTTATTCATGAGGATATGTAGGACTTTTCTAGTTGTTTTCCCTTCTTTCTTCAGCATCTCTGCAGTTATTTCATCTTTTCCAGGTGACTTATGGTTTTTTAATTCTTGAAGTGCTTTTTTGATTTCTGTTTTACTTATTTCTGGTTGTAGGTCAGAGTTTATATTCTTTATTTTTGTTTTTAATTGTTTAAGAATTTCTTGCTGTGGTTTATGTCTTGTTCTGTATAGGTGCGTATAGTATTCTTGTTTCAACTTTATTATTTGTTTTATATCATCAATGGTTGTTCCTTCGCTGTTTGTCATTTCATTTATCTGAGTTTTACCTGATTTTATCTGAATCGTTGTTTTAAGCATTTCATATTTTTGTTCTGCTGGATTACTCTTTCAATATTTACTTCCTGCGTATCTTTCTCTTGGTTTCTTTTATGTTTTTTTCTAATTATTTTATTGATTTCAGTATATTCTACTGTGTTTCTTTTGCCCTGTTCAAGTAGGCTTCTTCTTGTCTTCATCAGGTTTTCTACTTCTTCTGAGATATAATTGTTCTTTTTTGTCGTCGATTTTGCAATTCTTTCCCCGGCCTGTAGCAATGTAGATGTTAGTATTTCATTTATTTCGTATGTTTCTTTATTTATTAAGTCGGTTGTATTTGGGATGTATTTTTTATTTCTTCTTTGTACTTTTCTTCGTTTTGGCCAAGTTTCTCCATATCTAGTTTTTGTATGTTTTTGATTTTCTTTCTGGTTTCAAATTGGCTGTTAATTTGTATCTTAGCCTTCACCATTCGGTGATCGCTGCCTGTTGTGAAACGGTTTAGCACTGTGACATCCTTGACTACGTATTTTTGTGTTGATAATATGTAGTCAATCTCGTTCTTAGTTTTGGTGTCAGGGCTTATCCAGGTCCATTTTCTCTGTGACTTCTTGCTGAAAAAGGAGTTCATGGCGAAAAGTTTTCTTTCCTTTATGTAGTTCATCAGGTTTGTCCCTCTTTCGTTTCGTACACCATATCCATATTTTCCTATTTTTGTTTCTTCGTCATTTAGTCTTTGTCCTAGCTTGGCGTTGAAATCTCCCATCACAATTGTTAGTCGGGTCTTTTCTTTATCCAATGCTTTTGATATTTCTTCATAGAATGTTTCAATGTCTTCATCTGAGTATGTACTGGTTGGTGCATATATTTGAATTAGTCTCAAAGTTGTTTTTTTAAATTTAAACTATATCTGATATTCCTTTGATAGTTTGTACATATTTACCAATTCTTTTATTGATTGTAAATCCTACTCCGTTTTTTGGAGTAGGATTTATAATAAATAAAATGGAGAAAGTAATCCCTATACTAATCAAAAAACGATTAAAAATATATTTAGTAGAAGAATCTAGGAGAATACCAGGGGAATTTTGCAAGAGAAGATCAGCAACCGATCAAATTTTTATGCTAAAACAAATCCTGATCAATTGCTATGAATACAACATTTTAGTACAAATATTTTTTATTGATTACAAAGCCTCCTACGATACAATAGACAGAAACAAATTAATAGAAACGTTATAAGAATTCCGAGTGTAAAAAAATAGTAAGAAAAAATAAGGGAAAAGTATATCCAAATATGGATGTTTATAGCTGTATTGATCTAAACAATTCTGATCATAAACTTGGAACTAACTACGTATTTGTTTATTTATATAAACTATAACTGTACAACGTTACAATCAATAAATAAAACACAACAATATAATTTTAAAATAATTTATTTTATAGTTATCCTTTCAGGTGAGGACCTTCGAGATATTCCTCCACGGCATTTACCAGAAGATCACGATTACAGAAGAGCAAGCTCCAGAGGAATTATTCCACGTGCCAAAATAAAGACTGTAAAAATGACTTTTGTCATTGTATTTAGTAAGTGCAATTTACTTTTAGCCTAATAATATTTTAGTCTTAATTTCGAGCCGCGCCGATTTCCACGACTGCTTTATATGCTAAATATACCAAACCACACACCTGTAATATATTTAAGAAGTTATAATTTATTATAATACAATAACGTAAGAGCACCGAATTCCGACCGGTTATAAGTGGTATATATAAAATTGTTTGAAAGATCAATTCCGAATCATTGAAATTTAAAGTAATACATGTCTATAAGCTAGTATGCATTATTAATTCATTGTATGCATTAATCCATTTTCCGTCCACAAGAATGATTTTTTCCCAATTCCGTCCACAAGGGTGCCGTTATCCGTCCTATTTATTTAGTTTTGACAAAAAAAACCCTTTAAGAATAATTTTTGAGTAAATTTGCAAAAAAATGACCAAAAAACCACAAAACACACAACGGATAATTTAAATATAAGTTTTATTTAAGTACAAAGTTTTGAAAAGAACTTAATGTCTGCAAATGAATTAAATAATAAAAAAGAAGACTTTATTTTTTTATGTTTTCAATTTCTGGAACTTCGTAGGCGCCGCGTTTATTTATGAGCAAAGCTCTCGCAATCTTACAAACTACATCATCAAAGTCATAATTTAAAATGTCATCTCTATCTGGCCATTTCCAGTACTTTCCACTCATAGTCATACTTTTAACTCTTAAATTATCATTGCCTCGTTCCAGAACTACACCAGGGAAATACTCATTGTCGTACTGCACCAACACAAAATCGTCCTTTGAATATATTTCTATATTCTTTTTATTTATGTTTTCCGTAATATTATTACCAGTATCTATGCCTGGTGTGTGTTTTGGAGGATAATTTTTCTTTTTTGCTTGTTGGATCTCTGTTTTTTCTTTTCTCTTTCGGATTCGTTCACATTTCTCATTTTCTATTTCCTCTTTTTCTTTATTGAGTCTTCGTTGATGTTCCATAAATTCATCACTTATAGCTACTGTAGGATAAATCTTTGGTTTTTTCCTTTCGTTGGTGTCTTCTGTGCTATTTTTTTTCCTTGTAGAGCTTTCTGGCCAAAATAGTGCTTTTTTGAAAGGCGTTGGATATTTACTATTATTCTCTGATGTTGTAATCTGCTTAAGTGGGGTTTTTTCTTGATTTTGTACTTGCTTTGTTGATCAGAATGAATTATTGAATCATCTTTTAATGGGCTATTACAAGGAGCTCTGTTTACTACTTTGTTCTTAAGTGGTGTTTTTTCTTGAAGTGAACTTACTGCTAAATAATAGTCTATTTTTTCAGAATCATTGTCCTTGGATGATGAAGGACCAGGTTTTGGCGAACTAGAATTGCTATGCTGTGAAGGAATTAAGACCAATGCTCCATCTGCTTTGACTGTAGCTTCAATTGTATCATTATTGCGAAACCAAAAATTTTCATCAAGGTGTATGTCAGCAATGGTGTTGTTAGCAGCATTTATCGGAAAATTGTTTTCCAAAGTTGTATCGTGATCGACATTTTGTGGATGAAGACTCTTAGAGAAATCATACAATGCTACATATTTTTCTTCTAGTTGGGCCGCTGATTCAGCAATCTTAAAACTGTTAACAATTTCTGGCTTTAAGCGTATCTCTACCTCTCGAAGTAGTTCAGAATCATAAACATTAACAGGTGTAGTGGATGTGGATTCAGTTATTTTATCATCAGAATCTTTTTGTTCTATTGGTTTTATTAATTTTGAATAATCAATGCCATTTTCGTTGAACGGAAAGAGTCCACATGATTCAAATGCACTTTTTATTATCGATGTACAGACTGTAGCCTTCAAAGTTTTGTCTAAAAGTTTTGCAAACTCAGCCCGTTGAAGTTTTCTTCCGTTATTCTCCATAGGCCAAGATCGAACATCTTTTCGCCAGTTATTTTTAATGGGATAAAAAATACCAACATCTAACGGCTGTAATCGGTGAGTTGCGTTGGGGTAAAATGCTGTTAAAATGATACCTTTTTCTTTGCAGAATTCAGTAATAGGCAGATTGATGTGGGAAGAGTGTCCATCCAGAAACAATATCACTGGGAGTGGAATACTGTTCTTTTCCAACCAAGGAAAAAATACATTTGTAACATATTCATAAAATGTCTCACTTGTCATCCAACCAGATTCAGAGTGCCCAACTCCCCACTGTTTTGGCATGTTCGTTATTATTGCAGCTGACACATACCTTTTGTAGTGATACAAAACTAATGGCGGAGGCACAGAACCATCAGCTCCAACAGTTAGCAAAACTGTAAGACATTCTTTTTCGTCATTAGCTATGCGATTGTATACCTTTTTCGCACCTTTTCTAACCAAAACTTGTTTTTCTTGAGGGGATAAGTAGAAACCACTTTCATCAGAATTGAATATTCTTTTGGGATCTTTAAGAATATGTAAATAATTCATTTTTGTCATATAATCCCGAACTTGGTTAAACCAATTTTTTATATTTTGTTCCGTAACTGCGGCTCTACAAGAAGATAGTGATTGTGGAACACGTTTTGAAATTTCTGGATGACGAGCGAGAAAACCATTGTACCATTTTTTACCAGGTATGTAATTTTTAAATGGGGTTTTTCGTTTCAAATCTTGAATTAGTTTTGAAACAGAATCAACAAGTTGAGATCTTGTTACCGGGAATCCCACGTTGCCCATTTCGATTATCCATTTTACAATCAAGTCTTCTTCAGAACTGGACAAAACTGTTAGCCCTCCAATATTGCTTGGAGTTTTGTACTTTTCTTTCATAGTATCTAACAAAGTACTTTTAGGAACATTGTATATTTTGGAGGCTTGTCGAATACTTAAACGTTTTAAATTAATATCTTCTATAGCTTTTTGGATATTCTCTCGAGGATACTTCATACGATTTTTGTATACCATACTTGCAGATAATAAAAAACTGAAACAAAAATCTTTTATTAGTAATATTTTATGGGGTCGGTTACAGGAGTTTAAAATAGTTCTGTCCGTCCAACCTGGACGGATACAGGCCCGAAGGTTCCTGTGTCCGTCCAATTCCTTTAAATGAGTGTTTTACTAATTAGATAGTCATTTTATCATACTTGATAATACAAACTGAGAGAGAGAAATACCATAAATATTTTTTACAAATTAAAACTAAACCAAACTTACACATTAAATCTAGAATAGTTAATAAATGCATCCTTCTTGAGTTAAATTTTAAATTGAATTTTCGAATGCACTTAATATTTGACACTAATTTTCTTAAAATGATTTGTACCTATTATAGGTCGTATTCAGGTTTTTAAACGGAGCAAAACATTTAGAATGTTGAAAATATGCTGGATTATATTATTTAACTAAGACTTTTATTTAAAAAGCGTTTGAAACTGAAGGAGTTAATTCCTAATACCGTCCGGTAGGACGGTATCAAGGACACCTTGATATTCTAAATTACCCTATTCCGTCCACTTTAATTTCTGTTAAAAAATCTATTGTTCGAAAATAATCACAAAAATATATGTACATTTACAATAAATAAATATGTAAGATTCAAATAAAAAAGTAAAAACATAAGTGTTAAACGTAGTATCTATAAAATATGCGAAATAAGTATTCCTTACCTTTATGTTTTTTTGGAATCAGTATCGCTTGAAACAACACATGCACTTGCAATGAACTGAACTGCACTGACAGCACTGAACGTAAAACGTAAAATGTCTACATGCTAAAGGTAGGATGAGTGGGGATATAACCTATCAAAAATTTTACTCGGTCGTCTGATTGAGACGAAACTCTGAGGTATAGAGCGCAATTTCTTTGTCGGACGGAATTGGGAGACTGGACGGTATACGGTGCTTTTACGTTAGTATATACACGATTTTTTGTTGTAAAGACAATTTTTAATACTAAAACACTGATATATTTAAACTGAATAAGAGTATATGAAACAAATTTTATAAATAACAATTTAATAATGTTTATAAATAACATTTGGTACACTTTTTCGGACGGTGTTTTACGAATAACTTAAAAACTATGTATCTAACAAAAAAGGGTAAAAAACAGTTTATTTTTTCAGAAATATTTTAGTTGCAATAAAAAGCGAGATATGGAAGCTGAATTTTTTTTTTGTGAATGCTTGAATCGATGTCGAATCGCTGAAAGCTAACAATTGTATGGACGAACTTAAATGGGACGGCTGCCGAGAAACTTACATCGGTCAAACTGGTAGAAATTTTAATAAATGAGTAGCAGAACATAAAATTGCTTTCAATAATAGAAAAACAGATTCTACATAATTATTATTTTAATGATTGTGTAGAAAATTCTTCACATTCAAAATAAAGGGCTTAATCTATATTTGTTAGAATCTATAGAAATTAACAAATTAAAAAACACAGATATAATTCTGAATGACCAACTTGAGACAAACAGTTCTCTCCTCCGTAACCTATTTGATTAAAGACTATAAAATGTAAACGCATACCAAAAATAGATCACTTGAGATAGACACTCTGTCGAAACGGCTGTGGTGATAAGATTTTATAATAAATTCTGTGGAAGTTTTGAGAACAAAATTTTCAGTATTTTATTAATATATAAAATGAATTTTCATCAAGTAACGGTCGAATCCATCAATTATTTTTATTAATTATTTTGATAAAGAAAACATCAAGCTATCAAATATAATTTAAATCTATTTTCTCTAGTATTTTGTTTTCTTAATATTTACGTCTAAAATCAAATAGTCCTTAACTGGGACGTTATTAGGTCGGTTTACCTTACCTTACAGTATATTTCATCGCATCCACCAGAATTTCAATCGTTTTCCTTCCAAAATATCTTTTATTTCTATTCTTAAAAAGTTCTAGTTAACTAGTTTAAAATGCATGGTTTTTAAAAAAAAAAGTATATCAAATTATAGAGAACATCTTTAAACTTTCTTAAATATCTGCCTATTTCTCTCTGTAGCTCGAAAATAATAGAAAAAGGCAGAAAAGATATAATAA